GATTGATCGATGTGTTGATAGAATGTACTCCACCAATCTACATTTTTTTCCTGAGCCCAATGCCAAAACTTTTGACAAGACTCATTTGATTGATTCTCTTGATTTGGAAAGCAGTTGACTACATCAACAATAGAGACAGGCTTGACTTGAAATGTTTTGAGTCGTTCATCAGTCAAGATACTATCCTCTTTACAGATGATTTGAATATCGGCACAATCAAATAATTGCTTTTTTGACACAAGTGATGCTAAATCAGCATTGATTCGACGAATTGATTTATCTAGACAATCATCAGTGATCAAAGGCATTGTGGATACCAAGCAAAGTTTCCAGCTTACCTGAAGGAATGCTGAATAATGTTGAAAAATGTTTCGTGATGAGTTCGTTGATTCTATCCACCATGTGCAACCACCAAGGTGAATGTTTTATCTGATTATTTGTGTCCGATGGACAATAATGATTCATATTTTTTTTAATATTGCTATCGTTCAATAGTAAATAGACGAAGAGTATGGCGAGATGATTACGAATAAATTCATTGAAAGGTACATTCTCGCGAACACTCTCTCGATTGGTAACCAATTGAAAATCCGCATTGAAAAGAAAATTGAAACCAAGATTGCAAACAGGTAATCCTGCATAAACATTGTAGGTCAATTCATATTCTGATTCACATGGAAATGCCAGGATGATTCGAGTTGTTGTTGCTGTAGTACTTCGCTGTTCGATTATAGTTGGAATAATAATATTGGTGGTGTAAACTCGGAAATTGTTTTGTTTTGACCCACTTTGCAACTGAACTAGTGATTCTGTCAGATTTGTGAATGTAAAACCTTCAAATATCGTACATTCGTGCCATTGATTCTGCTCCATTACGATAACTTTTTTCGTAACAAGCAATGTTTGGCTCTTTCGTTCGTCAACTATTTCCAACTTTTCTAGTCTACGCAAATTAATCAGAATGCATGGGTCGACCGTTTGAGCTACCTGATCGAGAAATTCTTCAGCTTCAGGTGTGAAGGGATGCAATTTAAGTGGTAAATAAAGATAGGTATCAAGCGGTTCATTCTCAATGCGATCACGTATTTTCGCGAGCATAGCATCGTCAGATATCCACACTGGAGTAATGTATGACATTTCATCAGATCCTGGTACGTGAAAGGCAAATTTCCAAGCATGAGAAATGAGTGTTGGCTGATTTGAAGCAGCGAATACAGATTTGAAACCGACACCCTTTTCTCCAATATGTTCGTTGAGTTGTTTTGTGCTCACAGCCAAGCTGCATATAGCTGAGATGTCGCATGCACGCAAACCTTGCTCATTATTCGACAGAAGAATAAAATCATGATCGATTACAATTCTTAAACGCGGTGAAACTGTTGGCGCATAAATATTGTCTTCGGCATTCTAAACATACAAACTGAAAAGAGCAACATATGACCTTCACTCAATACTTGAATGAGTTCATGCAGAAAATGAACCGGTGAACTGTACAAATCGGAACCAAGATGTTTAAGAGATCCGCAGATAGATTTTCGCATATCATTGTCGTTGAATGTCACTCGTCGATGATAAATTTCTTGAATAAAGCTTTTTGCTTGTTCTTTAGTGATTTTGTGAGGCAACAGATTCTCTAACTCGAGATTCATACTCTCTTCGTGCCTTTCGGTGCTTGAAACCGGCAGTGCAGAAGATTGTGATGGTACTCTCGAGCTTGCTAGAGATATCAGCCTGACTTCATTTATTGAACGGGCCAGCTCGATACTTTGTAATTGAAGTTGATCACGCTGTGATCGTGTTCGTTCAAGTTCATCACGCAGCTCGGAGATCTCCTCTTGCAAAGAGTCATTTTTCTGTTTGAGCCGTGCATGATCAAGTTTCAATTCCACTCGATTAAACGTCTCCCATTCCATATTCAAGAACTTTCCTGTTTCATCGATTGTTGATTTCTCTGCTTGCAATAAAATATCCTGATATGTACGATGCAACTCAAAATAGGACGCAATCAAATCTTGATTAAGAGTTAAGGTGATATCTCGTGTGAGTTTTGGTTCTGTTCTATTTGTATTCAGAAGGGTGGTCGACTCAACGTTATTCATGATTGGCAGTGTAACGAACTGTTCAGTTTCTGTAACGTATCCAACTTTCCAATCTTTGAATATAGAGCGCATGAACATCGTATAGAAGCGAATACACGGGTCTGCAAATTCTTTTCCGTAATGTAAAAGAAATCGAATAGCCTCGGGAATAGCTTTCAGTAGACTCGTTTTGCATCTTAATGCCACGAAAACTTCACATAAACCATACTGTATGATAGGACACAGAATGGTACATAAATCACTGACAAGCATTAAAGTGAAGGGTTTTTCATTAGGCATACAATGAGATAGGCGATTATCGACTAATGTGTCGATTGTGTCTACGAGCCGATTGACATGGTCAAGTGTAATTTGAGCGCAATGTTCAACGGATCCGTACAATAATGAACCGAGACATTGAATATACTTATGACCAACCAAAATAGCTGCATGTTGCAAGCATTGACTTTCTTCAACTTTTGGTGACAGTTCTTGATCATATGAATCATTGTTTCTAAAATAGAACACTTGCACAAGTACACTATAAAATCGAACTTACTCATCCTCTTTCTCCCATTGAACCTTGAGTGCTTGATAGGGCGTTAATAGCCACTCGATCGCATCCATTATTTTACGCGAAGCAAATTTATCATATCTCAAATAAGAAATGGCATATTTATGCTCAAGTCTATCGCCATCCAAAATCGTTTTACAGAGTCGAAGTCCAGAGAGTACAAGAGCGTATTGACGTTGACAAACGAGTGACATGCTCAGTATAAAGATCTCTGATGTATTATTGAATAATTCATGGCAGAAGTGGCGATGTTTTCCTAGGGTGCATATTACTAGAATGATGTCATATATCAATGACATGGCTGTATTTTGTGGCTCGCTAATTAACTGCAGTGCGTAACGAGTCAGTTGTGCAGCTATGGTATGTGATTTTTGAGCATCGTTCGAGTCAAAGCCACAAATTAGCTTTTGTTCATAGAAACGTCGTTGCTCAGTGCTCATGCACTTAAACTTAATTAATACAGTACGAGCAATTTTACGAACAGCAGATTCAGCCGTAGTGGAATTTTGAAGACTGATAAAAACTGACTCTAATTGCTCACTTGTAACCTTTTCGAATTGTTTTCGTGTACTCGAACGAAAAACATTTATATCGTGAACTGTACGTCGAGACGGTGATAACATGTTTTCCACGTGTTGTCGAAATAATTCTGTCCTAGTACCATACTCGGAGACTTTGGTAGGCAGATTGAGTAGTAATGCTCGAAGTTTTTCGCTATTCGATGCTTCACTTTGTTCGATAAAGAAAGTACGATCTTGAAGTGTCGATGATGCATTAAAATTTTCTAGAAAATCTTGAAGTCGATGCTGATAATCTGGATATACTGACGATTCGTATTCATGACAATTGACACATTCAAGGATACAATTTTGAAAAAGTTGTCTTTCATCACCAATCACACAGATGATTGTAAAGGTATAACTCAATAATGGTGCGTGATGATCTTTAAGTTGGAGAAAAAAATTAAGATGTTCACGTTCCATACATCTCTTATCATCTATAATCACCCAGCTGACTGGCTCAGCTCGTGTGTCCGCTATATTATCTTCAGCTTTTGTTTTTACTTCTAGCTGACAAAGAATGTCTTGCTTGAATTGATCCCAGACAAATGAATCTGTCTTATCGAATCCCTCTAATAAAGTCAATGAATATCCATGACAGCACTTTTGACCTGGTAATATTGATCGAATTCGTTTTGATAATGACGAATCAGTTGGTTTGAACAGTTGGTCATCAATGCGGGCAAGCGATTGATAATCTGTTAAATCAACACGATTGTTGATATGAATACGATTCGTACCACGCCCAAGTAACCACAGACGAATGCAATAGCGTATAGAATTCCATGGTAATCCAGTAATAATTATAAAATTGACTCGTCCAGGAGGTGTTCCTAGCAGCTCGCAACAGGAGCACAACGGTTGTGACATGATTTCTATCTAGAGACGTAAAGGAGTTTTGACAAATATTGATCATTGAAACTACCGAAAAATGTGGAAGTTTGAATAAATGCACAAGTGAGAACCGAGACAATTGAAACGATGTATTACTCTAATTGAACAAAAGTGATTTACTCTGAGAAAAACTGAATCATGTGTTTATCTACAATCTCGCTATCATGATTCTTACTCTGAACACACATTTGCTGTCGATACTGATGATTCAATTCATGCATGATTCGATCCCTTTGTCATTTTATCGAAAACTTAACTATCAAACACCGGTGAAGCTCTGTATGACTGAAATAGAATCCGCAGACTTCTTCAATATGTTGACATCCGAAGTTCTTGTCGTAAACCTACAAATTACTGCGAACTATGGGTGAAATGTAATCAATATGTCGGATTCATGAATGGTGCATTCCACACAGTTGTTCCCGCGAGGGTGTAGGTGTAGATGTGGATTTCTGGTTGCCAAGTGTCCCTCAACCTACAGCTACACTCTCACCCAGAAGAACTTGGATGATCAAAATATGCTCGTTTCGTTAGACAAACGTGGGATATCAATACAGGAGAGGCAGCGCAGACGAAGAAAGGAAGAAGTCGAGAGTCTTCTTCGACTTTGCGAAATTGAGAATAATGGATAAAAAGAAGGATAGAAGATACTACATTCTTATTCTTACCCAACAATAGGATATCAAACATTTTTACTACAAGAACAAAAAGTAGGTCAATATGAAGAAGCGAACCTATGTATATACAGTTGGACGGGAGAGAGGGTTGAAAGCAGCATGTGGGTCTGAGTGTTAGCATGCCATGAATGAATGCCAACACCCACACCCTAGTAGATGTGACATCCCTATTTTAACTAATTAATATTCTTTTAGTTTTTATGAAGAAAGGTTTTTAAAAAAATCCTTGTTTCTAATTATTATAATGAATGCTGGATACCAAGTCTATTGAGCTGAAGTAGAGTTATTTCTAACTGATACTGATATCGTTGAAGATCTGGATGGCCATATGGAAGAATTTTTTCAGCTAATTTTACAGCCAATCTATGATAATGTTTTGCTTTCAAACAATCTTTTCTATGCGCATAAGTTAATTCTAAACAATTATAAATTTCTGCTAACTGTGGATGTTGTTGATCTTGTTCAAAAACCATATTAAGTGATTTTTGAAAGATTTTCAAAGCTATTGTCCAAGCTTCTTGACGATAATGCAATCTAGCTAAATTGAAGTACACCGCTATCATTAAATTTTCCAGTACTTCATCTTTTGTCAAAGTGACTTCTTGGTATTGATTATAAAGTGAAATAGCATCGTCAAAAACTTTCTTTGCTATTTCATAATTTAATTCTCTCATATGAAATGTTGCGATAGTATTAAGTAATCGAATACATTTACGAATATTATCCGAAGAGGTTTGTTCAAGTTCTCGATTCATCAACGTTAATAGATGAACTTTTTCGCCTTCGTTGTACAATTGGTCAGCACTCAGATAAGCTATATTGCAAGATTTCTTATCGATCGTAAAACGTTTTGCCTTAATATTGATGTAGTTCTTTTTGACAGGTAAGAAATTTCTCTTGATTATATAGTAATATAGAAAGACGAGCATTTTCAATAAAGTTTTCTAAATATTCGGTTGCTTTTGAAATATTCTTTTGTATTATATATATTTCTGTTAGGCAAAAATATGTCTTTGAAAAATTCCTATAATGTTTAGGTAGAACTTTTGTTTGAATTTCTAAAGCTTTATCTGCCATATTTAGTTCTTTTGTATCATTACCCAATGATAATTGAACATTAGCAAGATTAGCCTGATACATGGCTAGTGAATTACTGTCTTCTGTATTTGATTTTAACATTTTTTGTACAGCTATTTCAGTATAATATAAAGCTTTATCATGATTACCCTGTTCGATATAGAATTAGCTAATACTGTTATGTGTCATGACTAAAGATAGACGACTTTCAGGTAAAGCCTGTCAATCAATTTCAAGTTCTTTTTCAGATATTTCTAATGCTTGCTTGATGTAGTTTGTGTTGTTGTAAACAGAGGCTAAATTATGATAAATTGCAGCCATATCTGTATGTGTTGAAACTGTACCCTTAAGGCGTATCGTCAATGCATGCTGTAAGGTTTCTAAAGCATTATTGTAGTCTGCCATTCTAGAATACGTATCACCAATATTATTATATGTGGTAGCTAATGATGGAATAATACTAGTTTCATTTCACAACGTCGTCTTCGAATTTTAATGCTTTTTGAAAATATTATAATACTTGTTTATAATCACCATTATCTTGATGTATCAAGGCAATTTGATTAAATGTATAACTAATCCTCCATCGTAATTTCTGTATTTCAGCTGCTTTATTGTAATATGCTAACGCTAACTGCTTATTATCCATACGATGATAATTGGAACCAATATGAGTATATGCCACTTCAATATCTTCTCGATGATCATGAGTTTCATTTAATTTTTTATAAAGCTGTAATGCTTGTTGATTATATTCTAATACCTTTGAATAATCACCATTATTATCGTAAATAATTCCAAGATAGGTGTATGCAGTAGGTGTAGTAAGTTGATCCTTCGTAGCATGCTCAAGAATCATTAGAAAATATCGTTCAGCTTTATTGTATTCACCCATTGTAATTAATGCACCTCCGAAATTACAAATATTACAATTATCACAAAATTCTCTTTCTAATTCATTTCGAAGATCAGTAAGTTCATTCTCATGATTATCATTAACTAATTTCAATTGAACATACCAATTTTTATCATTATCGAAAACATTTTCAACATTTTTAATACGAAATACTGTTCCAATGGAAAAGAGTACTTCTTTTTCATCTTTTATTTTACTTATTTCTTTTAAAGAAGCGAATGGTCTTTTTAATAAATGACGAGTATCGTCAATTTCAATTTGAAATACTACAGATACCTTATCCGGTGATTTATGTTGATCATCAAATCCAGCAAAAATACATGCAAGATGATAATCTATTGTTGTTGAAAGAGATACATTAATTGATATTAATCGGTCAACATTATGTTTGATAATATCGAATTCAGTAATGGTGATAGGCTGACCATGAAATAGATCTAAGCAATTACCAGAATTTGTCGTATCATTTAAAAATTGTTTGGTATATAAATGTTGCAATTGGTTATACACATCAGCTAAGAAAAATCGAAATACGAAAAGAAAATCAACATTCTCTGTATGAAGCGCTCGATTGAATAAACGACATAAAAGCGTATCAGCTATATAATATTGAAGTGCTTCGTTGAATTGATAGTTTTCACGTAATCGACTGATAATTTCTTTTGTTTGTATATATTCATTTCTTGTTTCATATTTTTCACATTCATCCAGCATTTCATCAAGTGTTTGATGATTATGTGGGATCTTTATAAGAATATCAATTAATAACTGAAACCATATAAAACGATCATTATCTTCACTCTAACTTAAAATGTGTCGTATTTATGTGTCGTGAGTTATTGTGTCGTGCATTCCAGCAGAAAAATGTGTTGCGCTTAGAATGCATCGTATGCGAATTTGTCGCGTTCTGTTTGTTCATTATTCATTCATCGTTTTTGTTATGTACGCACAACCATATATAAGCAACACTGTTGAACGTAAGAAAGATAAATATTTTCACAATAATTTTTTTCTAGATTATTTCTCGATAATTTATTAGTCGAGAAAATGTCAATCTCGATCAATATTCGAGAGAGGACTACCCTGAATCGGTCTGAAGGAGATTGGACCAACTCGAGGTTAGACAGATCTCAAGATCTAACCTGCTTGAGTTTTCAGAATAGGAATAATTACAATGGAAATACATTGAAAAAAACTCATAATATGCTTTTTCAGAAGAACCAATAAAAGATGTGTCGCATGTGTGGTGCTCTTGCTGCGCAAAATGTGTCTCAACGAACACCTCATGTCGTGCTTTAATGTGTCGTGCATTGTGTCATAACTCACGAGACATGCGACACATTTTAACTTAGTGTGTAATCGATACATTCATCGATATTGACAAATTTTTTAATAAAATCTATTTTATTTTCTATAGTTGATGTGTCAACCATAGAGATTATTCATAAAGGACGTCCGTAAAAAAGATGAAGGGGGAGTCAGTCAGAAATAGATGAAATTCGGACAGAGAAAGAGGAAGTCAAAACACAAACGAATATCTGGCCGCTTTTGATTTTGTTTTGATTCTTCTAGAAAAAATTTTTTTCAAATTTGACGCCCAGGGGAGGGGATCAATCGAAACTGGATAAGTGAGATAAAGATCATAAAAAGTAATTTTTAGGGAGGCAATCTCTATGAATAGCCTTATAATTTTATCGTCATCGTGCATCCAAATGATCGTTAAATCATCAGTTTGTGTTGGAACATAAGAAGAATCTTCATTTTTTGATTTATCATGGCTATATAAATTTATTTTTCGTTGAATAGGATTGACAACATTTATCGGAAACAAATCTCGTTTGAGTGTTTCAATATCTGCGCTAAGTTGACGATATGCATTTAATAATTCGTCATGAATAGCTCTTAATTTTGAATAATTTTGTGTATCGAATGTTATCTTATCTGGAGATTCACAATAAATATATATGTTGGCGTGCTATGTCGGATTCAGTCCAATCTCGGATTGACCTAGGCGAATCACGGATGCTTACATTGGACTAGTCCAATATCGGATTGATGCAATTCGGTTCACTAAAATATCAATTACTCTTGAGATAGACGTTGGATTCGAATTATTTTTTTTTAAGTATGTTCGCACGGTGCCGTTTTAAGTATTGTAGGTATTCAGGAAGAAGCCAAATTTAGACTGAAGAACTTTATAACAACTTTTCATAAAAGTTGTTGTTCTATAGAAATTTATTCATAACTCCCAAACTTTTACTTAAATCTTTCCAACAACGATAGTGACAAACAAATTGGCATTGTGTGAACATAATTTCAAAAAGTAATTCGAATCGAACATCTATCTCAAGAGTAATTGATATTTTAGTGAACCGAATTGCATCAATCCGATATTGGACTAGTCCAATGTAAGCATCCGTGATTCGCCTAGACCAATCCGAGATTGGACTGAATCCGACATTGGACGCCAACATATATATACACAATCTATGATAGATTATGAATTAATGGTAAAATATAACTGAATGTATCGTTCAGTGTTAAAAATACTTTTCTCCATTCAGATGATGAAATAAAATTAATACACTGATCACGATCATAATTCTTTTTGTGAAATTCACATACATTTTGCTTTTCGCAAGTTGTAATATATAAAATGGCTCTAATTCTTCTCCGATGTAAAATCTTTCGTCCAGATGTATTTGCAAAAATTGTTCGTTAGTGTACGTTATTTGTTTTGCAAAATCAATTGATAAAGGTATAATTTTTTTTGCAGAATAGCATTCCATATCAATGATACTGATATAAACTAAATATATAAAATCTGATAATCACGGATCGCTATTTCTCAAAGATGGATTTTGGTTTAAATTGAATAATTTAAAGAATATATTGAATGTTTTATCAATATTGAGTATGTTATATATTTGTTATATACTTGCGATAGTTCGTTTGAAGGATTATAAAAATTGAATAAAATGAGTCATTTATATGATCCGAGTCAGAATTGATTGAAAGAATTTGCAGTTATGACCATCACATTTTATTCACAAACCAGACATGAGTACAGAACGACTTTTTCTGCCTTGTCCTGATGAGCCACACACCATAACAGAACAGAACATCAGGACGACAGGACTGTTCTGTCCTGTACGCATCGTTGTCACAAACCATCGCTTTTCGTCCGACAAACTATAATGGCATGGTTGGCTTTTATAATTAATATACCAGATTCAAATGGATCAGTATTATCATTTAAGCTTTGAGGCTCCATAAAGTGTCTTATATTCTGATTTTGAGTGGAACCAATAAAGAAGTGAGTAGTGACAGAGCCTATTTTGGTCTTGTTTTCTGGTCTTTCCTTATCGAACAATGGACGTTTTATTCAATTTACGGCTTATGCGCGTAAATTGACTGATAAGTTAAATAGAAGAAGAAGAAGAAGGAGAATCCCCCACCTTTCGGCTACCTTGCGGTGTATGGTACTGTCCGAGAACAGTTTCGAGAGTCCGATATTTTTCCTACATCTATTACTAAATTTAGCTCTGGACAGAAGGCCGATCTGGCTAAGAGTTCTCCGCTTAATCACTTAAGCTTCTCATACATACTGGCTAACCACATACTAGCCACAAAGATCTTTATTGTATGTCAACCACGTAGGCAGTTTGTTACCGAATGGGCGATCCGAGACAAAGAAGTCGTTAGTGACTTCTTCAAGATCATTTTATGACTAATAAAGCTATGGTTCGAACACAGTACCTTGTGAGGATGTGTCGAGCATCTTAACCATTAAGCCGTACCGGCTCTAGTAAGCTAAATAATCGAAGTTTGAACTGAAATTTTGTTCATAGATAGATCTTATCGTTACTAGCAACTCGCTCAAGTTTGAACCAGAACGAGTATATTCTTATTCAGATACGAGCTTGACATAAAAATGCTTTTTTTTAGTAAAACACAGTTATCAGTCAATTTACGCCAATAAAGCGTAAATCGAATAAGGCGTTTACAGCTTGGCAAGAAAAGACGGAACAATCAAACGAAAATACATTTTCTCATTACTCACTGAGATCAATCGAATAACAGCAGTCACCATTAAAAAAATCGAATGGAAAGTTCATTTTAATTTAGAAAGCTAAAAAGCCGGGTTTACTTATATCAGATAAATCAACAACAGAAGTCGATAAGAAGACAAGTTTTCAGCTGCTTTTGCATAATAACCTAAATACGAATCCATGAATGATGCTCCTCGGACACTTGCTCCCGCGACAATTGCTCTCCAGCGACGATTGCTCCCGCGACATTTGCTCTCATGTCATTTGCTCCCCAAGGCCAGTTGCTCCCCAAGGACAATTGCTCCCCGAACACTTGCTCTCCTATGACAATTGCTCCCTGGATACTTGCTCCCTGATGACATTTGCTCTCCTATGACATTTGCTCCCCGAACACACGCTTTCCAATCACATTTGCTCCCCAATTTCAGTTGGCCTTAAGCTACGATTTTTTTGTTGGCAAATTCAATATAATTTTTAAAGACTTAAAAATTGATAAAATTAAGAAAAGAATGAGATGATTAAAAATTCGTGCAGAATTTAAGATTCCTGAAAATTCACGAATTAATTTTAAATACATAGCTAATTTTACTGCAGTTTTATCGGAATTTCGAAAGGTGGTAGTATGGATCTATAAATATATGAAGAGCATAGAACAAATAAAATAGGAAAAGGGTGTGGGTAGGTGTAAATATAGATCTTTCCTTTACTCACATCCACACCAACACCCTCCGGGTTGGGTCCGGGTCCAACATTTTTTAAACAAGCGCGCCCGGTTCCGGGTACAGGTGTAGCAAATTGTAAACGGATCCGAGTCCGGGTCCAAAAATCTTGGACCCGAAGGGCTCTAACCCACACTCACACCCACTCACACCCACTCCACACCCACCTCATACCCATATCCACATCCCACACCCTAGCCACACCCACACCCACGCCCTAACCACACCCACATCCACGCCCATTATGTTGAATTTGTCAACAAAAAAGCCGTAGCTTAAGGCCAAGTGAAGTGGGGGAGTAAATGTGATTGGAAAGCATGGGCCGGGTAGCAAATGTGATTGGAAAGCATGTGTTCGGGGAGCAAATGTCATAGGAGAGCAAATGTCATAGGAGAGCAAATGTCATCAGGGAGCAAGTATCCAGGGAGCAATTGTCATAGGAGAGCAAGTGTCCGGGGAGCAATTGTCCTTGGAGAGCAACTGTCCTTGGGGAGCAAATGTCACGAGAGCAAATGTCACGAGAGCAAATGTCGCGGGAGCAATTGTCGCTGGAGAGCAATTGTCCGGGGAGCAATTGTCGTGGGAGCAAGTGTCCGGGGAGCATCCTTCGTGTTACCCCTAAATACAAGTAATGCTCGTCGACATAACTCGCTTGACTCTCGACTGAAATTTATCTAATCATCATCTACCACTATGTGTTGAGTTCTATTTACGAAGGCTTACATTCCACTTATATACATGAAGATTTGAAATCGTACTGTTACAGCTAATATCTACAGTTATACCACATGCCATTAAACTCGATAGCTCTAAATTCATCGTTTATTCCAAACAAACCGATAATCGGATATTATATTAAAGTTAATCCTTTCATTCTGTGAAGATTGCATTGAATCTATGCTTCAATCATTTTACGATTTAGCCTGACGGTTGTTGTTGTTCT